TTGTATCTTGGCCAAATATTGTCCTATCCTAACAAAACATACATCAATGGAAAGCTTATTTATTCAGCTTTCAGACTATGTATAAATCTCAATTTCGAAAAATTGACCCTAATGACTGGTTTTGTGGTCCAGTGTCACACATGACATTCTGATCCACACTCCATAGCAGATGGTGCCCTACTAGGGCCTAGTAGATGCAAGAGGGTCTGGCTGCAGCCTTGCACTTGCACTCTCAGGCTTGTATTCTCAGACTTGCACTCTCAGACACTTGCGCTTCCGCTAGCGACGTCACTTGCAGTCTTTATTTTTTATAAAGACTGCAAGTGACGTCGCTAGCGGAAGCGCAAGTGTCTGAGAGTGCAAGTCTGAGAATACAAGCCTGAGAGTGCAAGTGCAAGGCTGCAGCCAGACCCTTCTCAGTAGACGAAGAAGGAGAAGTACTGTCCAATCAGAGGCAGCAGCCTGACGTCTAAGTCCCGCCCACTCTGCACTTCTGTTTCGTGCTAATCGACCTTCTAGTTTGGATTGCACGCGTATTTTAGTCAAACATAAACTGTAATTTATGACAAAATGACAGGGTTGTTCTTTAATTCACATTCTGTGATTAGAGCCAGTTCAGTCGTGCTTGTTTAATATAATTTGTTTAATAATATGTCAGCTGTGGGGTTAGTTAGTTATTGCCTTGAAATGAGCTCAAAGTGCAACCTGTGATTAAACAGAGTCCTTCAGATTTGGCGGCTGTCAATGTGTCTGTCTCCCGCACTGAGACCGCCAAGGCCTTGTCTCGCAGCGGGTCTATGTGCTCTGAGATCGAGGGCAGTGCTTCTGCATTTGTTTTGTTTGATTCCTTGTGCAGTGCAACGCTCCTCACGTCCTCGCATTACAATATCAGATCCTCTTTAATGATTTGTGAATGTGCATGAGGTTCTGGTGATAGAGGTGTTAATCAATATATGCTTTTACTTCATTTGTTGTAATTGCAGTATAAATAGCCTGCAGTTCTCATTAATGTCCACATGGAGTGACATTGAGTCTAACCAGATATAGAAATAATGCATTTATTACTAATGCAAGTATTACTCATTTACACACTTGTGAGCTCTTATCTTCTTTAATGAAATGAAATAATTTTATTTTATTTATTTTGTGTTTTTTACATTTTGTTCATGTAATATTTATGTAATATTTATATTTTTTTATTTTGAGGAGTTTTCATGGAACTATTCAATATTCACACCTAGATTATGCACCATTTATTTCTATATTTTTCTATATTCTGTGTTTTATGCATAAATAGAAATATATCATAAAAAAATATTGGTACAAAAATGAACGCATTCAACTTTAACAATTGAATTAATCTTTTAAAACAATTTTATCAAGTCCTTTTATTTTTGTATTTTTTTTAGCAAACAAAGTGCTGCACAAT